TTCGCGAAATCTGATCTCTCTACTGGAAACATGGTTCACGCCTCTTACCTCTGCACCTCCAGTGACCTACGATTCCTTTTCATAGCGCCTTGTTCCCATGGTGAAACTCAGCCATTGGAGACAACCTCAATCCCATCATTCGATCACATTTCTTATTGTTCTCTCTTTTTTCTCATGGACTCAACGTAAGAGCCATTTATATTGGAGCTAGCCTCCTCCATCAGTATAGCTAACATCGTCTTTTGAATCTAGCATGGATCAGAAAACAAAATCCAAAAAAAAACAGGGAAAAGAAATTCAGTTTCAGAGAGAGAGAGAGAGAGAGAGAGAGAGAGAGAGAGAGAGAGAGAGAGAGAGAGAGAGAGAGGAATTGAGCAAAAAATGGTTTTTTTTCAGAAAAATTAAGCAAGCAAAAAGAAGACAAAAAAATACGTATTGAGATAAATATACATATCACCTTCCTTTCATTACAATGGAGATAAAAGAGACATAAAATTTGGTTCTACACCACGAAAACTAGAGAGAGAGAGAGAGAGAGAGAGAGAGAGAGAGACAGTTGAATCAAGGAAAAAAAATATTTTTCTTTTAATTTCTTGAAGTTACAAGGATAGGTTTTGCATGAGATGAATATGGTTAAATGACTATCAAAAACAGAGCTTAGCATAATAGTGTGTTTTCACTTATTCAAATATGGTGGTCATGGTGTAGAGAGGGTGCAATTACTGTAGATAAAATCATCTATATAATTGGAGACTCTCCTCTTATCCTAAGATGTCCACCTCAACATTTACAGGTCCCACAAAAAAAATATATTTGCCATTTAGATGTCGCGTATAGATCTTGGACTAACTCTTATTTTTGTTTTATAAAAATCATTGGCCCATTAAGGTTCACACACAATATTTTTGACAAAAGCGTTCCTTATCTCTTTTTCTTTAATGGAGTTTTGGGAATCACTTCAGTATCTTTTGAGAATTAGAAAGTGATCCTTTTAGTTTCTATAGAATCAACGAACCTTCCTATACCTCTACATCTCCCCATCTTTAGTCTGTCCATCATTAATGGTTCTGAATTGTATGTTAATCATGGCTATTTACCTCATGTTAAATACTGGAACCCTTCATCTCAAATACACTTAACGTTGTGTACAAGTTACCCTACGTCCAAAAGGTTAATATTCAAGACGAAGCAACCGATACAACTGCAACCGATGTGGTATCGCATGACACAAGAGAGGAACATGTGATATTCCTATTTAGTTTCTGTTGTATGGTCTTTATTCTATCTTTTTTTGCTTATTACTCTTTTGGTATGTTGTGTTCGAGAACCTATTTGACAAATTGGTATCTGACAAAACGATTTCGTGTTTGCAACATTTTGGTTCAAGCTGATGATAATCATCAAGAAACACCAACAAACATAATCTTACACTTATTTGAAAAAAAAAACAATTTGATCATCATTAAAACATCATGGATAAGTAAGGTACATGAAGACCATCACCAAACAACACACAAACAAAGCTTTTATGATCTTTAATTCACTAAAGCATTCGATGGTCTTCTCTTGACAACATGCAATTGTATCTTCCATATCTTCAATTCCACTCTCATGGTGTTTCAGCAAAGTCTCACAAGCTCTCATTGAATTCTTAAACTGCGAATTGTCGATGAACAACATGTCAACCACTTCTTACATGTATTCAATTTCTTCAAGAACTGACTTATCAGTCTATTTGAACAAGTGGGTTTTTTCATTCACCATGAAATTCCAACATGCAGTTAGATTAAACCGAATTCATCATTATATGATTAGAGGACTAACCTTCTTAGATCCCATCGGACAACAGTGAAATAATCTTCATGGATTTTTGAATGTTTTGAAGTGAAAATAACAGCCGCCTCACCGCATTTGCATTTTGGTGGGAATTCCGCGTTGTTTGGGTAGCCGATCTCTTGACTTGAACGGAAAATTGATCGAAGACATGATTGAGTCGATCTCCAAGTTTTCGCCCCCTAGGTTTCTCTCATTTGTGCAAGAATGAAAAAAGGACTAGGTCAAAAGTTTTACAAAACGCTGTAATTTCATATCCAGATAGCGTGTATTGTACGTAAGGCAGTTCACTGGAATTTAACAAAAAACTGAGTATAACCTACTCATGAACTTTTGTACTTTCTCTTTGAATCCTCTAAATTAATGTAAAAACTTGAAGCAAATCAAGAAGACAAATGTACTTAATTAGTGACTACTAAACCTCCCAATGGTATTATTAACTAAACACATGTCATTGTCATTACAAATGCTAAGATGTTACATGCGAAGGTTCTTATGTATAGGGTTTAATTAGGGTTCGTTTAGGGTTTAGTTAGGCTTCGTTTACAGTTTAGTTAGGGTTCATTTAGGGTTTAATTAGATTTTACTCACAACTTGAATAGTAGTTTAGGGTAAAGAGTGATTATAGCAAATCTTTCATATACAAACTAAAATTTTGTCACATAAATCCTAAAAAAACCAAATTAGAGTTTTGTCACATAAATCCTAACAAAACAATTTTGGGGTTTGGTCACATCATTCCTAAAAAAAAAAAAAATAAAGTTTTATAAGGCACATATTGTGTCATCAGCTGAAAAAAAAACTAAAACTACAAACTAAACACACATAATTAGTCTTCTACGAGGTCTCATAATTAGACGGCACAAATTGTGTCATCAGCTTAACTAAAATGGGATCCTGTACAGCCTCCCATATATCTAGAGTAATCTTTTTTCGACAAGCCATGATGATTTCATCATCCACTAAACTGAGGTCAAGACCAAGCAGGTGGCATTACAAGTGTTTGAGTGCATATGCCCCGCAATCACATAAAGTCTTGTTCAATCTTGACTTCATAGGTACCTCTATAATAGAAAATGTTTCCAGGACTAGATGTTTCTTTTTTTTCAGATTGCGCAACAGCTTTTACTATCCTAGGAATCATAACACCAAGTTTCTCCAAGTATTGCATATTCCTTCCTGTCGAGCTATCAAATACTTCAATTGCCTTTTCAATGATATTGACGCATACAGAAACCCAATGATTCTTTGCGGAAAACATTGCTAAATCTATAAATACAGGGATGTAAATGGAGACGTGTAAAAAACAAGGACCAATGATGATTACTATTAAAAAATTGAGGAAAGTAGAGAAGATCAACATCGACACCCCAAATTTTATTAGTCCACCCATGAGGTGGAAGCTCTCCTCTCCCGTAAGCAAGAAGAATTTCAGCTAATTCATAGGATCTTTTGTTACCCATAAACAAGAGGTATGCTTTCTGAATTTGAAGGAAGAAATAAGCGGGCATGAAAGAAACACGGTATGGTTTCCAACGCCTCAAAGTTATCTTCTCTCGCCATATATACGTGGTCGCATCCATTTCCTGAATATTAACGAGGAAAAAAAAATCAATGCAGCATCAAAGATGTGTTACGAAGATACTCCCATATTCAACCTTATGTAATTAAGAAAGCAATACTTCGTTTCCAAGCCATTTTCCAGAAACTATCCTTGTAGCTAGGTCTGTAGGATCAACCTTTAAAGTTAATGGATTCATAGAACATTCTGTGAATCTATCCCATGATTTTTCGGAGCACCAACACAATGAGGACTGTGGAGAACCATCTGGTGCTATGGGTGAATCACTGAGCTCAAGTTTCCTTTGCCATTTACTCCACTTGGTCAGCGACGGACCAGTATTTTCTTGCATTGGTTCAACCTTTATATTTTAGACTGTAGTCATCGGAGTCCACCAATCACATGGTTCGTCATCCTTATTGGTCTGCGATGGATTAAATCCGGAGGCGTGCGAGGCCTGAGAAATGTATTCTAGGCTTTGGGTACCTATCCCTACGTCCATATCTTCTTTTTGACTCAAATCCACATACTGTTAATTGAAGATAAATTATCAAAAGCTGGTTAAATAACAAGTACACAAAGTACATAAACACAAACAGGAGCATGAATTATCTAGGCATTACATCAAGATCTTACACATAGTTACATTATCTTACATACCAAAACATAGTTCACACACCAATATACAAAAGTATTGCATAAATATATTACACAAAGTACACTAACACAGGCATACACACAAACCATATAATAACAAGGCACAATAACATTTCAGAGAGTGGTGAAGACTAGTGTCTTTTTCCTCTGATTACCAAGCTGTTGGACCTCCTTGGCGATGGCTTGCTCGGCGATGGCTTGCTAGGAGATGGCTTGCTAGACAGTGGCTTCCTAGGCGATGGCTTGCTCGTCGAGGGCTCTACATCCTCAACTTCAACGCTTGCATCCTTAACTGAACCTTTAAGCTCAGAATTCATTTTCTCAAGTCTTTCACCCATATGTTTCTGTAGCCTCTCTTCTATTGCCAAAAAATTCTGTTGAAACAATTGGGCTACAAACTTCATATCCCCATTAAACGGTGCATGTTGTGGTCAGTAAAGATAACATTTTGCTTCCTTTTTTCCATTCAACGATATGGGAGCCTCTTCTTTCTCTTTCTAGTTCTGGAGCTTGTGTTCGCTGTTTCTCCTTGAGTTAGAAAGTCTTCATCACTCCCATCTTCTTCATCATTCTTGGGAACGTTTTCATCATTCTTAGCTGCTTCATTATTCTCAGATAATTCATCATCATCTCCTTGTTTGTCATGAAGCCCAAAAGAAAACTCTGGTGTCTCTTCGAACTCCAAAATATGGTTACTGAAGTCATGCTTAGTGTTTATCATCCTCATGAGAACCTTCATTCTATCATCCTCCACCTCATCAACTCTGCGAAACTAAGCACTTTCAATTACTTCACAATTGCATCGCCACGAGATGTATGGATAGATGACATCATACATAAGAAAGGTAAGCAAATTTACATTTCAACACTCATTTCAAACCGGATGTAGTCATCTTAAATAGAAATATTTACCTCACATGTAAATATGTTCTCCAACTGGATGATCTCCCTATATGAAATATGTGTAGCTCTCATTCAGTTTACGCATCTGGGACCGTCATAAAACGTTTATTTCGTTTTTTCCACAGAGCTTTCCAATCTTTGGTTCTGCTTCCATTGCCTAAATCTGGAAGGCGTAGGAGAAGCCATCTAACACGTAACTAGTAGTCTTCTCCTTAAGTTTGTCACATGTTTTACCTATTGACTTGCATAGAAGGTCAAAAGCAGCAACTTCCCAAGGATACTTTCAAACCTTCTCAACATCAATGACCAACTTGACATACTTGATGGAGATATTAACCTTTTTTTATCTCTCGCGCAAACCATAATAACAATGATGCACATATACACCAGTCTTATTCGATCATCATTACTCCAATTCTTAATATCTTTCTGGTGATTCTTCTATAGGCCCAAGATACATGCTTCAATTGGTAAGGACTTTCACTTTAGGCTTTGAGTTTAGAATTACGGCTGTAGAAAATTTGGCTGTTGAAACTTTAGCCATTAGTTTAATTATTAAAAACAAATTAATAGTTAAAATATAGAATTTTGAATAATTATTTGAAATACTATGGAATTAAATATATATGATTATAAAAATAGTACAATATGGATCTCAAATGAACAAGAAAAAAAAATCAAAAATTATTTTGTTAATTTTAAATTTTAATAAAATTAGTACAAATGTATATAAAAGCTTTAGTTATGAGGGGGGGGGGAAATGCTTTTAGAGAAAAGTTAAAAAAATAAAAAACAAAAATGGTAAAAGTTACGTATCCATGACTTTAGAAAAAACAACACAAAAAGAAGAGAGAGAATCTTTTAAGGCTTTAGAAACTTTAGGTTCATTATATTTTAAAAAAGTCTGATTGGTAAAAAAATAGCTTTAGAGACTTTCAGATCCCACAAAGCCTTCAAAGTCATAAAGCCAATCGAACTCACAAACTCCCTCTTTTCTCCTCACCACTACGCTCCATAAACCACCATCATCTTCCCAGTCAACCAAATCCTTACGTGAGAGACTAGTATTGCACTGAAGCCCGGTTACTGCGTGGAACTCTAACAATGAAAATCGGAGTGGTCTCCCCGCAAAGACAAAAAATAGCTCATGGTTTTTGTAAGTCACCAGCTCCTTACACAAGAAGCTGTGTATCACTCTCACAGAGTAACCCAAACCATTCTCGTACAACTTCAAAATCTGAGCAAAAACCGGATCTTCGTCACTTTTTTTAACTCCTTTGGCAGCCATTCCTTCAACCTCTCGATATAACATACCATACTACAGTTGTTATTGATCTGAGTCACTTGGGTCTCCTCAACCGCCCTAAAAAGCCGCTTTGGTAACTCCTCAGGCATACCTATAATCAAAGATAAAATAATATAATGAGAGCACAAACAAACAAAAGAACAAAAATGTACTTTTACTGCTACAATCGGCGTAATTTTAAACACATGATACACCTATTTGTAAGATTTGACAGGACAAACTACATTTGGACAATGACTAAAACTAAGCTCTCATTTATAAATTCACAGAACATTTCTATATGTTCAACATGAATATAAGCTCTTTCTCAATTTTTTTCTCTTTCAAAAAAACCTAAATAGATACTCTACAAATACAAATTAAAAACAATAACATGCATGACTTAATCGTAGTGTATAAGAAAATTAATCAACCGATACAAAGAATTTTAGTTTAACAAATAAGATACATCGGGTTTAAGAAATCTAGGGTTAAGAGAATCAAAAGAAGTAATCGCAAATCTAGTGTTTAGAAGCGTGAGATTTTGATGAAGCTGATGACACAGAGTGTGAAGGGACCCTCCGACGAAACTCGTACACAAAGAATAAGACCGTCCGACGAAATCCGTAGAGGAAGAACAAATCTATGTTTCTTCGACTCGTGTCTAAAAACAATTAGAAGGAAAAAAGAGATTAGAGACGAAAAAATTGATGCTAAAAGATTAAGATACAAGACTCTCACCCTAAATCGCCAATATCACCATCAATGGGGCTTCAAGGTTTTAACGGAAAATAGGAAGAGCTTTGTGAAATTAGGGTAAAATGAAACGCGAAACTTAATGATATCACTCAAATTACCCTAAGGAGTGAATTACTCTCTCAAATAAAAGGTTCAGTGCAGTACTTAGGGATCAAATCCACAAGGACTATAGGATTACTTAAGAGATTAAAGTATTTAAAATGTAGCTAGACTGGAAATTGGTTGAAATGGTTTAAAACAATAATTAAAATAAGGTGGACAAATGATTGTTTAGTAGCTTGATTTGAAGTGGTATTCAGTTAGGAAAATAGTTACACTTAGGCGTTATCTCAGGTATTAGAAGTATGTAACTGATTTCTGACTTTAATGGTTTAATTGTTCATGAACTCAAAAAAAAAATGGTAAAACCAAGCAGATTTCCTTTGTATGGATCTCGGATCTCAACTGTCGAATTTTGATCTCAGAATTGTCGATCGACGATTCTTAGAGATCATCGATCGATACATCTTTCAAGCAGTCGATCGATACAAAGATGGTCGCGTCGATCGATGGCTCTTCCAGAAAGCTTTACGAATAGGTTACTATTGTTCTCTAACTCTCCAGACCAACTCTCGTATGAATCTAGTTCGTTAGAACAAACTAGTTAGGGTTCAGGTATTGTGTTAAATAGATTGTCTCAACTAATCCTAGTATCTAGATTTATGGGTGATCAATTTTAAATCTAGTATTAAGTATAAATAGGTTGAAGAACTAATTTAAAACACCTTAGTAGTAGTCATATTATCAGTACATAGATCAACCTTATGAGAAACCTAAATCTAACAAATAAGGTTACTCAAACATATTCATAAGAGACAAGGTTATGATGGTATGAATAAAACTCATTGTGTAAACAAGAAACAAAGTAAAATAAAAGTAAAGAAACAAAGGAGTTCAAGATGTTCTCTGTTTTGTAGTCTCAGATCTATCTCTCCAAAAACTCCTGAAACTCTCTTCCTTCAATGGTGAAACAAGTTGCTCTTCTCCAAACTAGGTCTAGAAGGTCTCTCGGCAAGTCTGCCTCTAAAATGATTAAAATACTTAATAATATAGGCTATAGGCGACCAGGGACTATAATTGCAAATAAATGGAACTTTTGTGAAACTTGAACTCTTCTATTTGTCATTAACTCTCCGATGGTCTTGGTGTCGATCGATGGCAACATTGTTGCGCCGAACGATTATAATTGGTCACTAACGATCGTCATAACTCTTCAAGCGTTGATTGATATTTCTCCTCGGCTGAAGCTTTCTTCAAAGTCTCCAAAGTGTTCCAAAAACATCATTTTTCTTCGTGATTACCTGAATTTGTAGATTACTCTAAAAATGCTCCAAATGCTTATAAAATACTTTAAAATCATATCTCGAAAATGGGTAAAA